CACCAGTGCAGCCCAGCAGTGCTGCCAGTCAGTGCCAGTCGGTGCCCGGTGGTTGTGCCAGTCAGTGCCCTGCAGTTGCGCCGGTCAATGCCTAGCAGTGCCGCCAGACAGTGCCCAGCAGTGATGCCAGTCAGTGCCACCTATCAATGCTGTCTATCAGTGCTGTCTATCAGTGCCACCTATCAGTGCCGCCTATCAGTGCCGCCTCATTAGTGCTGCCTATCAGTGCCGTCTATCCGTGCCACCTCATTAGTGCTGCCTATCAGTGCCGTCTATCCGTGCCACCTCATTAGTGCTGCCTATCAGTGCCGCCCATCAGTGCTGCCTATCAGTGCCCATCAGTGCTGCCTCATCAACGCACATCAGTGAAGGAGAAAAATTACCTGTTTGAAAAATGTTATAATAAAAACAAAGAAACTTTTTTTTTTTCAATTTTTTTGCAATTTTTTGGTTTATAGCGCAAAAAGTAAAACACCCAGCAGCAATTAAATACCACCAAAAGAAAGCTCTATTTGTGAGAAAAAAATGATACAAATTTCATATGGGTACAATCTTGCATGACCGCGCAATTGTCAATCAAAGTGCGACAGCGCTGAAAGCTGAAAATTAGCCTGGTAAAGAAGGGGGTATAAGTGCCCGGTAGGCAAGTGGTTAACAATGGGACAAGGACACAGTAAACTCATACCACCTTAATAAACAAAATATAGCAGAGTCCTCAGCATCAGATTGTTTTTAGCTGATTAATCAGTGAGCCGACCCAGACAGGCCAGAGCCTACACAGGAATACACAAAGTACATTACACTCGTGCTGAGGTGTCTGGACCCCACCAGCACAATCTGTCCATTATGAAACAAAACTCACACAATATTCCAAAAGTCTGAAAAAGTGGAATATTTTATCTTCATAGATAACTTGAGGGAGATTGCTGATAAATATTTCTGTCCCAGATAGAGGAGCTTCTCCAATCCAATCAGCATGAGGGCCACATATTTCCTCTGACCATCAACCTTTGCAAGATTAATATTACACTTTTCCATCCACTCCAGAAGGGAAGATTTATTGTCTTTATGCAGAAAATGAATCCAAGTATTGCTCTAAGCATTCACATGGGTGTGGAAATTTTTGAAAAAACTACTTGTACAGGGACTAAATCGGTGTACCAAAACTACTTGTCCCTCATGACAATCTACTTGCCCTGATAAAAAAAAAATTTTTTTTTAACCAAAACCGTATTTAAATCTGAGGTGCTGTTAGGAATGTCTGGGACTTTAAAAATCAAAAGGGGCTTTATGGCGACTTAAACGTTTAATTTTTTTGACATTGCACCATTTTATCTCCTCCTCCCCTCCCTGCCTGTCTCCAGCACCGAACACAGGAACTAGCAGGGAGGAGAGAGACCTTGCAGTGTAATGAGCACTGATTGGGTTCTCGTCAGGAAAGGGGAGTGTCCGGATTATCCTTTATCCCTTTTGCTGCAAGAGCAGTTTTTGCACACGTTAAAAAATAATTTTAGGCTTGAAGATGACACAAAAACCTCCAAACATTATGTATTTTCTGAAATCAGATACCCTAGAGAATAAAATAGTGGTAGCTCCAAATGTTGCATGATATTACCGCAAAGGTCTAGGAAACGCAAAAATTCAGTAAAAAATACACATTAATTTTATGGCACAAAAAAGCAATAAATTACCCTATTTTTTGGTAAGATATAAAAGATGTGGTTCCACTGAGTAAACAGATATCCAACATGTCAAACCTTAAATTTGCATGCAGTCATGAAATGGCGACAAACTTCAGTACCCTATATTTTTCATAGGCAACCCTTTTAAAGCCTGTTATAGGTCATCAGTTTAGTGTTATGGAGGAGCATAGGCACCCCAGTATGTGATTTTACTTTTGTACGTGCATATATGTGGGGGGCTCAAATTTTTTTTTTGAGGGGATGTTATGTGCTTTGGTGCAACTTTGATTTTGTTTACTATTAGAAAAAAAAAATTCTACTTAACTACTTTTTTCATCATAGAGGGGACAAAGGTACCCTATGTGATGATTTTTTGGTGACAGGTTCTCTTTAATGAGACATGCAGGGTCTAAAAGACCCTGCGTGTCTCCCCCTGCTCCCCTGAATGTAATGCAGTGCACATCACACGGCATTACATTCTTTGCAGGCCTCAATAGCTGGGAATCTGTGAATGAGGACCTGGAAATGCAGTCCAACGTCACTTCCGGGTCAGGACAAGAAGGGGAGGGGAGCGGACGTGTTCGCCATCCTCTCTAGATGCCGGCGCACACTGAGCCAGTCCCGGACCCGCAGATGGGCAAGTGGAGCCCGGGAGAAATTGGCAGGTAGGGAGGAGGTTCACACGCGGGGCTGGAGGCGGAAGCTGGCAATGTAGGCTGTGTAGAAGCCCGAGTGCTTCCACCTGACAGGTGAGCCCTGCTGCTTGCCCGCAGCAGGGCTACAGGTTGGAAAAAGCTACCTGCCCAACGACTGAAAATACAGGTCACAGGCATCGTGCGTTACAAATTCAACATCCCTGATTCATAACATTGTTATTCATCATTAAGTGTTCTTGCATGGCAAGACCACTTACTGTTATCTCACATATATATTCTTATTATTATAGCCAAATTTACCACCCTAACTCCTCCCACAGTTTTTACACTACATAGACAGTAATATACCGAAACGTGCGGATTGTTCCCAGTTGGTGTGCTATTACTTTGTGGAACGTTTTGCCGAATGGTTCACGAAATATCGGTGTTTTTGTGGTGAAATTGGTCCCATAGGAATGAATGGCGGAATGTTCAAAACTAGAGTGGGAGCTGACAAAAGCTAGAGTGTGAGCTGAAAAATCAGGACATGATTTCTAAACTGCCATCACTCCCTCATTTTCAAGCCCACCTACACAAATCTTATATCAAAACGTTCAGCTATCCCTGCTGCCACTAAAACAGCTAAGCCATACTCCTGATAGTTTTCACAATATGACCATTTGTTTGCAACTCACACCGCCTATTGACATTCATTGAAACCCCACTCTAGCCACCTCAAATTCGAAGGGCAATTTCTAAACTGTGACTGTGCCTTCATTTTTAATATTTCAGAGACATACTATGCATGTAGGTCTGGGTCTTGTGATTCTCACAATATAAAGCTCTTTGGTGTAGGATTTATAATTTTTAAACTACAACCGTTTGAAGATGGCAACCGCCAGTGAAGTGAGCAAGTTGGAGCAGTTTGTTTTTAACCGCTCTTCTCTGCCCTTGCTGTACAGTGAGTTGCCATAGGAACCCAGGTGTGTGAGCAGGCAGCAGAATGACAAGCCCCTCCACCTAGTTACTCCGCCCACTCCAGTTGTAGACTACTGGTGGAGGCAAGAACACTTCACACAATTTCCCCAGAAATTGTAGCTTTTCAAGTTAGAGAATGATCTGCTCTCTCCATGGGCCATAATCAGTGGGTTTCCCCCTAGGGCTACCCCCTAGTCCTCTGCAAAAGCCCCTGTCCCGGTTGGGTCTGTCACAGAGGAGAATGGCACAATTACTGAAACAGATCCCCTATGGCTCCCCTTGCATCAGCTGAAAGCTGGCGGGAGGGAGAGGAAGAGAAGCCAGCTGCAGTGCAGGGGGAGGACCACAGGGGGACTGGTTCCAGTAATTGCACTAATCCCCCCTTCCCCCCACGATCATCCTCCCGCCACTTTCCAAACCCCTGCCCTTTCCTGCAAGTATCAGAGGAGGCAGCCAAGTGGGACAGAAGTTGACAATTAATTTTTCAGCCAGTGCTCTAATTTAAGTCTATATGCCTGTACACTTTTGTGCAGGTACTTAAGTATACAGGTTTATAGACATAAATTTCTTTAGTCAATCTGATCTTTACACGGCGGTGTACATTGTGTCATAGGAAACAGTGCATGAGTTTAAAGATCCATAAAAACTTGGCATTTTTCACTCTAATGTGCAACTGGCCTATGTCACTAGATGCAAAGGAACTTCTGAGGTAGAAACTTTGTGAGGTGGAAAAAAAAGACCAACAAATTTAAATATGTAAAGCTATGTTACCTAAAAGGCCAGATAGCGAGACAATAAAGTTAGAGAAAACCACTAAGGATGCAAATCCCCCTACACCTGTACCTTCTATGTATGTCTTTTAAGATAAGGATGTAGTGTATGTGTATGGCTGTCATCAAGCCAGGGACCGTATGTAAAAAGATATAGGAAAACCCTGGTCTTACCTTGCCCACATAGCTGGCCCTGTTCAGGGTTCACCCATCACAGTGGGCATACCCCCAAAATCATTTTCAGAGTCTGGGTCTCATAGGAACAGATTACGGCTATGAACTTGTGTACCACCTTGCAGCTAACTACACTTGCTGCACCACATGCCAAGGTGAGCACCAAACGCAGGACCCAGTGCCCAAAGCGAACATTACAGGTCAGCCCTACTGCTTCCTGAGGCTCCAGTTTTTTTGTTAGTGTCCTTTAGTGAATTTCCTCCTATCTTTCACCAAATTTATTTTACATCATTTAACGAACACGTATTTTTAGATCTGACTGCTTCTTGCCTTCATGGCTTATGAGCAGTTTTTGCATCGGTGCGATGCAAAAACTGCTCATAAGCCATGAAGGCAAGAAGCAGTCAGATCTAAAAATACGTGTTCGTTAAATGATGTAAAATAAATTTGGTGAAAGATAGGAGGAAATTCACTAAAGGACACTAACAAAAAAAAACTGGAGCCTCAGGAAGTGGGTGGGGTTATACTGGTGCACTAGAGGGAAGACCCAGTGAAGAATTTGCTAGTGTCAAATCATGTGAAGATAACGTATAACCCATAGCCTATCAATTCCTGTGTCCTGTACTGTGCAATAAAGATAAAATGCTTTAATACATCATAGACGCACGCACCACAAATAAAAAAATGTGCTTGTTTTAGTTACCTTTGTGGCAAGAAAAAAAAAAATCAGCATTCTTGTATGTTTAAAAAGACTTGATTACCTTTTATATAATCCAAGAGTCTTGCCAGCAGAGTTTCTCTTTCAGTAATGAGCTGTTTCCCAATATTTGGTCTCTTCACCATTTCTTTATGTTTCTGAAAAGCTTGCAAGAGCTTAAAAATATAAAAAGAAAATATACAGAGAATAAAAAAAAATTCTCACAACAGGGAAGAGAATTATTACATGTGAGCTAGAAAAGCACTCTTTGCAAACCCCACCTTCACTTAAATATCTATCAAAAAGAGATGCTATGGCAGAAAAGTACATTTTCTTTCATGCAGATACCACACCTAGCTAAAAGCTTCCTGCAGGATAGGTAACACACTCACCTCTTTCGCAGCCTCCACTCCATTCCAGCATTGAAGCCTTTGTCAGTCTCTTCAGCATTTAAAACTTCCAGTAGTTTTGGATGCTTATGTCCCCAACCACATAGTGTGGTTCCATTCTATGACCCCATGTCATTACAAGACTCAGCTAGGACGTAGGGGTGGGAGGATTCAACCACAGCTTGCAGCGGGAAGCACAAGTATCTAACATTCTCAAAAGTGTCAAATGATAAAGACTGGTGGAGACTCCAGTGCTGAATATAAAAAGGGAAGGTTTTTTTGAGAACAGGGCAGGATTGATTTAAACATCATTAGTTCTTTTTGGTGTCTGTGAAACATTTCTGGGGACCCATGAGATTCCAGGGTGTGCTGACAGCACCAGGGGTCAGCTGAAGCCTCTGTACATTAGTACCATATACCAAAGACTTCCAGAATGTATGGTATGGTATCAAGGTAAATATACTGATATTTCACAATGAGTAGAATAGATATACCTGGCCCTAGTAAACAAAATGTGCAACTGTGTATTAATACAGTAAACCTTAATGAACATATTTTCAACAATAGGCAAAAAACAGCCAACACAACAATATACCATTCAAAGTGTTTGCTGTAAGAGTTAAGCCAGCCATAAACAGATCTAAATTTGTCCAGTTCAGCAGGAACAGGGCAAATTTCGATCCATCTATGGGCAGGCTGGTTATACTGAAGTCAATCTATCAATCAACTTCAGTAAAACCAGCCTATCAGGTTTTTTTTTTTTTTTAAGAAGATCACTGCCAGTGGCTATTGCCACCAGCAATGATCATTGTATTCTGATGGTGGAGAAACCTCCCACTGTCAGATTCAATAGCACAGTGGGAGGGATTCCCCCATCAACACTGACTGCATTGATCGAGGTATTGAGTGATTTTCTTTCCTTCAACCCATAGTTGAAAGAAAGAAAATTGCATAATAAACCGCCAGCCATATATTAGTGTTGAAAAACAACAGTCGTGTGCCATATACCAAAGTGCTTCCACTTTCAAGTCAGCACAAAGCCAATTACAGAATATTTAATTGTCTTGTAACTAATGAACATACAACATAACAGGTTAGACGCCAGTACTATGCAGATTCAACAATGATATTGCCTTTATATGACATTTCACCAAATACATTTCTCCATGATTAAAGAAGTGGTCCTCCAGATCCTTCCCAGGTCTTCTAAGCTGTCTGAGATACTGGGAGGTCTCACCTCGTATCTATCCTAGCCCAGTAGTCACAAGCCAAGAACCTGTTCAGCCTAGCTACCTGTTGTCAAAAGCAGGTGCACTCGAGTGGATTCTTAAAAAAAAAAAAAAAAAAGCACAGGTACACAGACATGAAGACCTGGTAGTGGGTTGAATCCAGCACCATTCAACTAAATTGCATAAATGCTGTTCGTTTCAAGGAAAATAGCTATTCAAAGGATAACAATTTTTCTCTCACCATATACCATTTATAACAATAGTTTATGCCACATATACCAACCTGTTGTGGACTTTCATGAATCTCTGAAAAGTAGGATTTCAGTTTGCTGGCTATTTTCTCCTCTGCAGGTTCAATTATTCTTTCATACTGAGAAACTGCAGCTCTCCAGAGAGGCTGGAAGAATGTTACAAACCATCATCAGAACCATGTTCACTATCACACAGACAGCAGATCATAAATTCAGCTTTGTACTACCTCTGTGTATGGGTTGTAATGCACTGGATTCAATCCAGAAAAAGGTTCAAACACTTTCCCATATCGCTGAGTACGATCTTCACCAGTGGGCAGGAAATGGGCCAACTTTTCATACATGATTCTTATAGTGAACACCTATAAAGGAGCAATCGTTTCCTTTGTTAATTAAATACAAAATTCATTATAGATTTTTACAGTTATATAAGCTGTACCTAAATTGTTACAATATATGTAAACCCAGTCTCTAAAGTCTCATATAGTCTTTAACATGCTATACCAATAACAGAGAATTTCAAGATTTTTAAATCTGCAGCTTTTATTTAAAGGATACCTGTTGACGCTGCCTGTTAAAGGTTAACAACAACAACAATCCCTTTCTCTTCACCATTGTCTGCGTTGTCACCCTTTCACATGCTCTCCCTATTAAGTCTTTAAGCGGCTGTACGGATGCACATTGTACAGGCATGAACCACTGTTACCATTATTAGGAAACTTGCTTTGAGAAATGTCATGTAGCAGTTGCTAGAGTGCATGTATGAGGAAAGGCCTTCAAGAGAAACTCAGCAGTGATGTGCCGATATGTAGCAAATAAAAAAATGGGAGAAAAAAATATTTTGTTAAAAAAAATAATGGCAATTTATTTAAGGTGCTATGTACTTTAAAAACTCTAATCAAAAATAGAAACAAAGTGCACCAACCCCATTTGAACCAATTACTTTAAGGCTACGTTCACACTAGCCTTGTGTGCAGGCGGCAGAGAGGCGTTTGGGAAGCGTTTTTACCGCTTCCCAAACTCTGCCAACTCTGCACATTACAGCACATGGTGCTGTTCTAAACGTTTGCGTCGCGTCAAAAACGGATGCCTCTGGTCAAGTCAGGAGGCTTTGAAGCCTCCTATTCTCGTCTATGGTGCCGCTCCCAAACGCCCGGCCGGCGTTTGCGGTGCGGTTGCGACGCGGTTGCGGGGCGTTTGCGGAGCGGTAACACCACTCAAATGCATTAACGTTTGTGGGGCGTTATTAACGCTCGGCAAACGCCTAGCAACCGCCGCTAAACCGCGCATGCGGCGTTTGCGGAGCGTTTGCCGAGCGTTAAAAACGCTCCGCAAACACCGGACCAACGCTTGCCAAACGCTATAGGGGCGTTTGGCAAGCGTTGGCAAAACAGCCTAGTGTGAACGAGCCCTAATAAGACAAAAACTGAACAACCGCACTAGGGTATGGTAAACTCATTGCTTTCAACGTGGTTGGAGGTGGGATGGTAGTCTCCTGACTAGGGGCCCTTTCAAGGGGCCAGCCAGCAGGGGCTTATAAGGAGTGAATTCACCATACACTTGTGAGCACAATTGTTCATTTTTATTATTTTTTTTTTTTTTTAATTAAAGTAGCTGTATTGTACAAGATTGTCCCACTTTGTCTCTATATTTGCTTTTAGTGCTGGTGGGTGCTCCCAACAAACCATTTGAAACTGTAAACTGCCACTTATTTCCACCTTACACCAGCAGGAATTCTACTAGATCATTGTACAGTAATACCTCGGTTGACAAATTTATTTCGTTCTGCAGGACATTTCATATAGCGAAAAATTTGTAAACCGAAACACTGCTTCCCATAGGAATGTATTGAAAACCAACTAATCCGTTCCGAAGGTCAGAAAACCAGTAAACACTACTAAAATACCGCATGAGTTATTTTATTAACTCATGCGGTATTTTAGTAGTGACAACCATGTGTTAATGTTTCAGCTGTCAGCGGGGTTCTCCACTGACAGCTGAATGTTGAAGAATTGCCGGCAAATAAAAAAACTATTAAAAAAAAAAAGGCGTGGGGTTCCCCCTCCCATCCATACCAAGCCTTTCGGGTCTGGTATGGATTTTAAGGGGAACTCCCACGCCAAAATTAAAAAAAAAAAAATGGCATGAGGGTCCCCCTCAAAATCCATACCAGACCCTTATCCAAGCATGCAGCCCAGCAGGTCAGGAAAGGGGGGGACAGATGAGCGAGCTCCCCCCTCCTGAACCATACCAGGCCACATGCCCTCAACATGGGGGGGTGCTTTGGGGCAGGGGGATCCCCCCCCTCCCGAAAGCACCTTGTCCCCATGTTGATGGGGACAAGGGCCTCTTCCCCACAACCCTTGCCGGTGATTGTGGGAGTCTGCGGTAAGGGGGCTTATTGGAATCTGGAAACCCCCTTTAACAAGAGGGTCCCCAGATCCAAGCCCCCCCCCATGTGAATAAGGATGGGGTACATGGTACCCCATCCTCATTCAAAAAAAAAAAAAAAAAAAAAGTGTAGTGTAAAAAAAATACAGGACACGGTCTTTGACAAGTCCTTTAATAAAGAAAAATCTAAAAGAATGTCCCCCGCAGTAGATCCAACGTCAATGACGATGTCCACCGCAGCCGACCTGAAAAAAGAAGGTAAAAAAAAAAAGTTCCGTTCCCGATGCTGGCTGCCAGCCTTCTGCTCTGAGCTGGCTTGACAGTTTTTAAATATGGCACATTGGGTGGAGTCACTCGGGTGATGTCCCTGGGTGGCCCCACCCTTACATATTTAAGAACTTTTAAGCCAGGTCAGAGGCAGAAGGCTGGCAGCCAGCAACGAGAACGGAACCTTTTTTTTTTTTTCCTCCTTTTTTGGGTTGGCGGCGGCGGACATCGTGATTGACGTTGGATCTACTGCGGGGACATTCTTTAAGATTTTACTTCTATTAAAGGACTTGTCAAAGACCGTGTCCTGTTTTTTTTTACGCTACAATTTTTTTTTTTGTGAACGGGTAGCAGCACCATGTACCCAATCCTCATTCACATGGGGGGGGGGCAGGATCTGGGGGCCCCCTTGTTAAAGGTGGCTTCCAGATTCCGATAGGCCCCCTGCCCGCAGACCCCAGGGTTGTGGGGAAGAAGCCCTTGTCCCCATCAAGCACCCCCCCATGTTGAGGGCATGTGGCCTGGTATGGTTCAGGAGGGGGGGGGCGCTCGCTTGTCCCCCCCCCCCCCCCCCTTTCCTGACCTGCATGCTCGGATAAGGGTCTGTTATGGATATTGGTGTGGGGGACCCCAAGCCATTTTTTTTTTTTTTCATTTTGGTGTGGGAGTTCCCCTTAAAATCCATGCCAGAACCTAGGAGCTTGGTATGGATGGGAGGGGGGACCCCATGCCGTTTTTTTTTATAATTTTTTTAATTGCCGGCAATTCTTTTACACTCAGTTGCCAGGTGCCAGTTTTTAAATGTGATTACCGCTTTTTTTTTTTTCTTCCTCCTCCTGCTAAAAGAGAGACATTTCTTTTAGTTTATTTCCCCAAGTTAAAAGAAACAATGTTTCCTTTCAGTTTCTTAAAAGATACAAAGTTTCCTGTAACTCTGGGGAAAGTGACAACTAATGTTGTGAGCTATAGTGAAGAAAAAAAAAAAAAAAGACAGCAATCGCACTTAAAAATTACGTTAACCGAGGCATTCGTAAACCAAGGTATTACTGTATACTGTAATACATAAGCCCTTTGGCCAGTTTTTGTTTTTTTTTGTTTTGTTTTTTTTTTTACTAAGATTGAGCCTTTTTAGTTTTTCATTTTGTTTTTTATCCACTTTAACATACTAAATGTCATACAATTAAGGATTACATGTACATTAAATATAAGCATAATTAATAGATCATACCATTCCTGTAGAACAAACATTGCAATAGACCTTTAATTATTTTTTTAACCTAGAACATAGCATAAGCAGAGATCACTGATCTCCAAGAAGGGACAGAATGGCCATGCATCAAAGTGGTAAAACCTAAATGACTGGACTTGGCAAAGAACACCGAATCTTACCCTTCGAGCCACACAGGAAAAAATACAGGAAGTATGTGTGCACAAAACTCCATGAAAAAAAATCATTCTAATTATTCAAATGCTAGAAAGGGTACTGAAATAAACTAGAAATTAAATAAATACATGTTCCTTCCTTAATCCAGCCTTCTGGAAATAGTTGGGTAGAAGGAAAGTTGCAGAGCATAGAATGACTGGCTGATTTCTGATAATGGGGTTATCAATACGTCTAAAATATATCTAGTTCCCTGGATATCATCTATTTACTGACTGATTTTTTCGGCAGCCTGGAGTTGATCTTTAAACAAGTGACCTGAAAGACACAAGAGCAGAATACCTCTTCCAGACGTTTGCCTAGTTTGTAAAGGAATTCTGGGAAATATTTCTCATTCTTCCAGGGGTGTGGAGTGTAGCGCTGCCACAGCTGACCAGTAAGGTATTCACATGCTGCTGTCCACTGCTCACAGACACTGATTCCTGCCCGCAGGTTCTCCTTCACTACAGGGAATGGGTCTGTCCAGAGGTTCATTGCTCCAAGGTTCTTCTGAACACTTCTGCCCAAAGCATTTCCTGAGACAAAAAATGATCATCACGAAAGTCAAAATATGACTGGTCAAGTTGAAAAATATGTAAGAATTTTAAATTTTTTACCAATAAAAGTACAAACACATTGTACAAAAAAATGAATTAACACACCAAATATTATGATTTTTTTAAAACCATTTGTTTTACTCTTCATTATAGTGAACAGCTAAGGGATACCTTTACCCGCAAGCAGCAAATTGCCTGGACTCAGACTGCCCCCAAAAAAACTAACCATTTTTGGAATGCACCTATTCTTTAAGACATTGGTAATGCTTTACAACCAGGGCCATAAACAAAAATCATGAAGCCCCATAGAAAAATTTAGAAGTGGCCCTGTAGTTAACTCTCTCTGTAGAAGCTGGCAGGGACAAAACATATCATTGATCTTACAGTTTAACTAAAGACACATTTTTTGTTTCTTAGTATTGGACACAGTGGAGAGGGATTAGAACACCTGTCGGGTTTTTACTGCGGTCTATGCCCCCATTAGGGAGATTCACACCCTATAGTTGTCCTGTTTACTATTATCATCGAAAGGGAAAGTAAAAGAAACCCCATATTTTTGGTTATCCACAGAAAAGTAATTTTCCAATGAGGACGCATTCCTTTGGGGGTCCCCAAGGAATTCCCTCAATTTGCAGAGATTTTCTCTCACTTCCTGTTTTGGTTATGGAACAGAAAATGAAAGTAAATCCCCCAATAGGACACAGATGTCAAAAAATAAACTGAGAGTGGTTATAACCCTCACTTCTATCTATCTATCCATTCAGTCGTATCCGACCCTTGGCGATTGCATGGAACGTCACTCGAAAGCGACTTTTTCCATGAATTCTCTTAGCAATTATTTTACAGGGTAGGTTGCCAGGTCTTTCCCCAACCCCTACCATGCAGGAGATCCCGCATGGCCAGGGATGAAACTAGGACAATTTAGACAGGAGCCAGTTAACCTACCAGCATGTCTTTGGAGTGTGGGAGGAAACCAGAGTACCCGCAGGAAACCCACGCAAGCACAGGGAGAACATGCAAACTCCATGCAGGAGGCGCCATGGTTGGGAATTGAGCCCATGACCCATTTACTGCACGGCAGACGTGCTAACCACTAAGCCACTGTGCCGCCCAACCCTCACTTACTCTATCAAAAATGAAAAAAAAAGGTTTTGTTTATAGTTCTAATTTATTAGAAAGTATGCCTACATTAAGGAAAGGCAACAGGAAAGCTGTCAGTATAGTCAGCCTACTTGGGACCAGTGCTTTGGACAAAAGTTATAGCAGCAATGATAATAATAATGATCACACTAATATTTTATATTATGTCAAACTTTTGTAGATTTTTGTAGAAATACAAACCTCAGATGTCCCTTGAGGTTTTATCAGTGGAGAAACTCTGGAATTTTTGACTGCATTGGACAAACAGGGTTAATTTCCATCTGTAGCAAAACTTCAGAAATAATAAATCTACACTGCTAAGGAAATGTTTCTGCAGGATCACTAGTCACAGGGGTATCTGTGACTAGTCATCCTAAAATCTGACTTCAGCCATTCTATGCCAGAAACGTCACAGATTAGTTTTCCTTAACAGCCTAATCGAGCCCCCCCTCCAATCCCAGGCCCCATAGCTGCCATATGGGCTGCTATGGCTATTGTTTTGCCACAAGTCCTTAAAGAATCTGGTGGCAAGTGACAATAAGAGATGTATTCAAAGTGTTAATTATAAAGAAATGACATGGTCCCTTCCAATTGCTTGTTTTTGTATGTTGCTTAACGGTCAAAAGATTGCATTCCATTGTGTAATTCAACCCATGAGATGCTCTTATACTTACCAATGATCTCCAACAAGTGCTTCATCCGGTGCTCAGAAAATGGCTCATGCTCAGTTTGTCTCCACACGTCATCCACTGTTTCCTTTGTAGTTTCTACCAATTCCACCACCTCAGCCAAGGGCAGATTATCCAGACTATTGTAATACTAGAACACAACAAACACAGCGTCACTAGATTAGTTACAAAATCAACTGCACACGATGATCTATCAGAATGACCACAATGAAATATTCTGGTTGTTTAAAGTAGATCTAAACCTTAATTGGATGACAGTTTTCTCTGTGCATTGTGCATCATATTTTGCCATTTTTTCTTTAAAATACTGTATTCACTTTTTTTCATCCTTTTTGTATCTCAGTGCGCATCTCCTTTAGTCTCTTTCAGCTAGTTCCTGTGTACATGTTATGTTTCCAGTGGTTGCATTTCATTATTCTGGAGTGACAATAGTGGACTATGTCTGTGCAAGTGTGTATACACACAAACTACAAACTCATAGTCCTCTTTTGTCACTATCTGGAAGCTGGTCCAGAACAATGAGATACAGATCAGCACTTTACATTGTGGTGGACTGTGTTACTAAAAACGCTGCGGATGTGACTTTGAGTCTATTGTGGTGTGCTTTCAATTAATAAAATGAATGATTGTCTTAACACAAGTCAACCCACAGCATAATGCATGTTAACTGTTTTCATTTGTTTGTTGTATTAAAAAGCTGCTTTAAAGTGTATCTAAACCAAAGAAAAAAAATGTTATATACCATATCTTATCAGTCCTTACATGCGGTGGCTACATTTATTTGTCAGTTTTTTTTTATTTTAACCTGAGAATCTTGCAATAACAAACTTCCTGTCCTAGGGTGACAACACTCACTGTATTGTATCTCAGAAGAGCAAAGTTGCCACCCCGAGCAAGGAAGTGTGTTAGCATAACAAAACAGTCCCAACCAGCTCCATAACATTGGCAGGCAGTGGTGATCTGTAATTCACCGAGGTAACCTGTATAGAACTGATAAGACTGTTGGAGATAGGATGACAGCACTGGATTTCTTAGGTGGCAACTTTTATTTTATTTTTGTAATGCACTCCCTGTAAATGAAGGCGGAAGAGTCTCAAACCTTTTCTGCAACGGGCTGATAGTCAAAGCCACTGCCAATTTCTTTTTTCCCCACTAAATTCCAATTCAATGTGTTTCAATAAGTTATTCACAGATTTTCTATGATCTTTCCATTAGATTTCCATCAAAGTCTCTATGAAGGCCATAATGGTAACCCTACAACGCTTTGACCCTCACCAGAACTACCGATTGCTCTTGTTTCTTTCAGTAAAAAATATATTACAATTGCCATTTTGTTTTCATTCCGAATGTCTGGCTAAGGAAAGCTTACGAATGATTCTCGATAAATATTCACTTTTAATCACTAGATGGCCCTGTTGCACAATGTATATACTAAGATCAAGCTTGGTATTCAGTGATACATTAGTTCTTTGCTCTATAAAGTAAATATTAAAAGGTATTTTTAAAAATTCCCTTGCAGTAGGTCCCCTGCATTGCAAGGGTTACATGCTGATTAAATATAGGGCATGATGAATGAGCTGTAAGCCCTGGTTCACATATTGGATGCATTGTAAATCGCATCTGATTTGCATGACGTGAACAAAACCAGCTTTCTATTTAGCCGGTTCACATATGTGTGGCCGGCCGCAGTGCGATTTTAAAAAGAGTCAGGTACGATTTTCAGTGTTATACACTTTACAAATCTGCACCTGAACCACTGAACGAAATCATACCGGACTCTTTTTACAAATCGCACTGAAACCGGCCCCGCACATATGTGAATCTGGTCTTATACTGATCCCATGGAAGTGGGCACTTAATTCTTCTCTTTGAGGGTCTGTGTTGTGGGTGGGCTGTTGTCATCTTTATGTATAGTGCAAGACTGCTGGTCTTGCATTGTATGTGATGATATCAGATGAGGCCTGCGACCAGCAGAGTGGTAAAGGGAAGTGGCTTTGGGGGACCAGTGGCACAGCATAGTTGAAGCCTGCTGAAGCGGGAATAATTTTATTACTGCTTTATTCCCTTCTCCTAGACTTATAAGCATTTAACCCTTAAAGTGTGGGGGGGGCCCCACTGTAAGGGTCATTTTCTTCTGCTGCCTAGAGTGGGGCTTTAAACACCAAATAATCTTATGTTATCACAGAAAGAGCACTATTATACCCAGGCACTAGTGAGGTGCAAGGACCAATATTTCATTTCAGATCACAAACTGATCCATTTATAAAGGCGGCTCACTTAAAGCGGAACTAAAACTGCAATACTTACTTCTCCTTCAACAGTCTGAGGTCCTTAGCCAGCGTTGTCTACCACCAGGCTTCTTCCGGGTGCTGGGCTGTGGCCATCTTCACTGGCCAGCACGGGATGACGTCACTCATGTGCATTAGAGTTCAGTCATCCCAGCACACAGGATCTGTGCCAGAATGTAAACTGAGCTACATAAGTGCATCTTAGTGCACATTCTAAAGAAGTCTGAAAGCATATGGGTAGATTTAGGTAGTCTTCCTGTTTGCAATTTTTGAAATGGAGACAATAGTTTTGTTTAAACTGATACCCGGACCTAAGCCGCACCAAGGAATGCAGCTTCCACATATTGTATATGTGCAAATGTTTTGCAACTAAAACACAAATTATTCAACAGTGTAATTTGTTTATTGTATTATTTTTACCTGGAACTATGTCTTGGGTCCTATCTTTCCTTATACATGAGCATTATAATGTTTTCAGTGTTGGGGACTCATGTAAATGTTGTAGCTGCCCCAAGTATCCCTAAAGCACCCCAAGTAGCCTGATCCCTAAAAGTCCTCAGAACACTGAACACACAATCCCCCCCCCCTCCTCACCTCCACAACACCAAACTCTTAAGCTGCTCAATAAAGGCTAAGTCCATCATTTATATTATAATAATAAATGCATATTGTAGGAAAAAGAATATGCATTATTTTTTGTAAACCAGTCTGCAATGCATTGCAAAGAAGATCAGTGGATCACGAGTGCAGTGCCAGGCTCCTGCAGACTCTTCATCCAGCTCTATGTCTGTACTGAGGTATGGACTTTTTATTAGAGCTGGGAGAATTGTCAATGGACTACAAGTGCTGTGATCACTACACTCGTGTTCATTGAGAACTAAAAGTCTGTCTGGCGTGGTGACAGACGGGACTTGCAGTTCATTCATTCACGGATCTATGAATGAATGAAGCAGCTGATAGGGAAGAACCCCCACACACTGTTACATGGTTGTCCCATTTGCACTATGTTATACCCTAAATACGGGTGTAAGATGTAACATGGTGCAAGAGGTGGAGCTACCTTTACTTACTAACCAATCCTCTGCGCAGATAAATTAATGAATACAAATCTGTATCAATTTGTGTATTTTACATCTGCCTAGAGTTCCACTTTAAGTGTGCCCATCCAATCATTCCGTATAAGAAACAGCCTGGTAACATCACTGAGAAAAAAAAAAGGGGAATACCTTTTCAATAGTTTGAAAGAGATTCGTAAAATGACCCGCTCTTTCCTTGATGTTAGGTTTACATCTGCCCTCTGCGATTTCTGCCCAGAACTGAAACTCATCACTGGGGATTACAATACCTAGAAGACACACAGGAAAAAAAAAAGAAGAAAACATTTCCATTAGATCAGCGGTTCTCAACCTGGGGGTCGCGACCCCTTTGGGGGTCGAACGACCATTTCACAGGGGTCGCCTAAGACCATCGGAAAACACATATTTCCGATGGTCTTAGGAACCGAGACACCGCTCCTGTCTCAGGCGATCTGTGGGCGGCATGATATGCTGCCCCTGTAACCTGGCCACACCTCCGGGATCACTCAACAGCTCCGCCTCCTCGCCGCTGATTGGCCACTGGAAATGTAGCTCAGGAGAGACACACAGGCGGCCAATCACCGGCGAGGAGGTGGAGCTTGGAGAGATGGAGCCGAGCGGCAGCGCGCGAACATCGAAGAAGATCGAGGGAGCTGCAGGAGCGAGTGAAGAGGAGAGCGGCCAGAGAAGGAAGACAGCTGACAGGTAAGTGCAAATTTTGCTGCTGCTGCAGCCAGGTATGCAGGCTGTAGATGGGAGAGGGAGAGAGCGAGCCCAGGCTGGAGCAGGAGTCAGCAAGGTAAGTATCATTGGTGTCAGTGGAAGGGATAGTGCCCCATCATTTGTGTCACTAATACCAACGATGGGGCACTATTCCTCCCCCCACTGACACCAACGATGGGGCACTATTCCTCCCCCCACTGACACCAACGATGGGGCACTATTCCTCCCACTGACACCAATGATGGGGCACTATTCCTCCCACTGACACCAATGATGGGGCACTATTCCTCCCACTGACACCAATGATGGGGCACTATTCCTCCCACTGACACCAATGATGGGGCACTATTCCTCCCACTGACACCAATGATGGGGCACTATTCCTCCCACTGACACCAACGATGAGGCACTATTCCTCCCAATGACACCCACAATGGGGCACTATTCCTCCCACTGACACCCACGATGGGGCACTATTCCTCCCACTGATACCCACGATGGGGCACGATTCCTCCCACTGACACCCACGATGGGGCACTACTTCCTCCCACTGACACCCACGATGGGGCACTATTCCTCCCACTGACACCCACGATGGGGCACTATTCTTCCCACTGACGCCAATGATTGGGCACTATTCCTCCCACTGACGCCAATGATTGGGCACTATTCCTCTCACTGACGCCAATGATTGGGCACTATTCCTCCCACTGATGCCAATGATGGGGCACTATTCCTCCACTGACACCAATGATGGGGCACACTATTCCTCCCACTGATACCAATGATGGGACACTATTCCTCCCACTAATGCCAATGATGGGACACTATTCCTCCCACTAATGCCAATGATGGGGCACTATTCCTCCCACTAATGCCAATGATGGGGCACTATTCCTCCCACTGATACCAATGATGGGGCACTATTCCTCCCACTAATGCCAATGATGGGGCACTATTCCTCCCACTGATACCAATGATGGGGCACTATTCCACCCACTGACACCAATGATTGGGCACTATTCCTCTCACTGAGCCAATGATTGGGCACTATTCCTCCCACTGATGCCAATGATTGTACACTATTCCTCCCACTGACGCCAATGATGGGGCACTATTCCTCCCACTGACGCCAATGATGATGGGCACTATTCCTCCCACTGACGCCAATGATGGGGCACTATTCCTCCCACTGACGCCAATGATGGGGCACTATTCCTCCCACTGACGCCAATGATGGGGCACTATTCCTCCCACTGACGCCAATGATGGTACACTATTCCTCCCACTGATGCCAATGATGGGGCACTATTCCTCCCACTGACACCAATGATGGGGCACTATTCCTCCCACTGATACCAATGATGGGGCACTATTCCTCCCACTGACACCAATGATGGGGACACTATTCCTCCCACTAATGCCAATGATGGGACACTATTCCTCCCACTAATGCCAATGATGGGCCACTATTCCTCCCACTGATACCAATGATGGGGCACTATTCCTCCCACTGACACCAACGATGGGACACTATTCCTCCCACTGACACCAACGATGAGGCACTATTCATCCCACGGATACCAACGATGGGGCACTATTCCTCCCACTGACATCAGTGATGGGCGTTAGTCTCCCACTGCAAAAATTACAGTTATGAAGTAGCAACGAAAATAATTTTATGGTTGGGGGTCACCACAACATGAGGAACTGTATTAAGGGGTCGCGGCATTAGAAAGGTTGAGAACCACTGCATTAGATGTTAACACAATGAAGCCAAATTATGAAAACTGCAAGAAAGTTAATAAGGGTATTTCCAGATAAACAGATTTGCTTCAATCAATTTTCTAGCCTGTAATAAAATATTAAAAGGTAGGATTTGAAGGGGAATTAAACTCTCTTTTTCAGAATGGTGCCATCTTAGCTTTCACTTAAGATCTGCACTTGCCATGGTTAACTAAAGATCAGCTATGGCAAGCCATTTTAGGGCTTAAAGACAACTGACATAAGCCAACTGGCATGCCACCTCACCACGCTGCTCCCCTGACACTCTATTTGACCTATTTGGCAGTTTCATTATTATTATAGAGGATATATATAGTACCAGCAGTCTACGAAGAGCTTTACCACATAAGGGCAGACAGTGCAGTTACAGTCCAATTCAATACATGAGGAATCAGAGGGTCCTGCTCATTAGAGCTTACATTCTAAAAGGGAGGGTTAAGCGACACCCAAGGTAAAAACTGTGGGGGATGAGCTGACAGAGAAAACAAAAGTTTAGTTGGTTGGTGTAGGCAAGACAGGCTTCTCTAAAGAGAAGAATTTTAAGAGATTGACTAAATGTGGAAAGAGTAGGAAACAGTTAGATAGGAGTAAGGAGCTCCAAAGGATGAGAGAAGCTCTGGAGAAGTCCTGAAAGTGAGCATGGGAGGAGGTGACAAGGGAGTCAGAGAGCAGGAAGTCTTGGGAGGAGCAATTTGAGATATTTTGAGACAAGGTTAGTGAGGTAGCTGGAGGCAAAGTTGTGGGTGGTTTTGTAAGTTACTAAAGTATTTTGGATTTTATATGTTTAGTTAGCGTAAGCCAGTGGAGAGATCGTCAGAGAGGGGGGTAGCAGACAATAAACAGTTGGTTAGGTGGATGAGTCTGGTAGCAGCATTCATGATGGACTGAAGGCGGGCTGAGTATGTAAAGGTAAGCCAATGAGGAAGAAATTGCAGTCAAGGCAAGAGATGACCAAGGAGTGAAACAGAAGCTTTGTTGTATCATTGGTTAGGAAGGGGTGTGTTTTTGGAGATGTTGCAGCTGTTGAGGCAGCAAGATTTGGAAAGCGATTGGATGCGGGACTGAAAGGAAAATTCAGAGTACAGGACTACACCTAACACTCTGGAATGCAGGGATGATAGTTGTGCCATCAATCTCAACAGAAAAGCCAGGGGAAGGGGCACTCGAGAGAAAAATCTAAAACTGATTTTAGATACAGTGGGGTCGATTTACTAAAGGAAAATATGCTCTGCACTGCAAGTGCAGTTGCTCCAGACCTTAGTAAATGAGGTAAAGCTTCACTTTGCAAAGAATACACAATGAAATCCAGGGAGAATTAAAAAAACTTAATTTTTGCTTGCACATGATTGGATGATAGAAATCAGCAGAGCTTCCCCTCATTTAATGCAGGCCATAGACGGGTCGTTTATCGGCCGAATTTTCATCCGCACGAAAAATCGGCCATATTCACGCCATTAGTGGGGCCAGCCCGTCGGCCGTTTTTGGAAGATCTTCTCATTTATTTTTATCGGTCATGCTGGAAAATCCACGAAAATTGGCCGTTTTTAATGGACATTGGTGGCAGCATCGGAAACGGGGTCGACCGATTTTTCGTTTATCAGCCGAAAATTCGGCCGATAAACGGCCCGTCTATGGCCTGCATAAGAGCAACTTGCACTTGTGGTGCACAGTTTATTTGCCTTTACTAAATCAACCCCATTGAGTTTGAGGAAGTGGTGTGACATGTATACTAATAAATCTGTTAGTAAATCAGTGATCTGTTATAAGATTGATGAATTGAGCTGAGGGGTAGAAAGACAGGTATGGGTGTCATCAGCATAGAAACAGTAATGGAAGCCATGGGAGGCTACCAGCTGACCCAGGGAGGAGATGTAGACTGAGAATAAGAGAAGTCCAAGAACCGAACCCTGGGGGACCCCGGAATTGGAGAGGATGAGGTAGAGTTGTAAGTAACACTGAAAGTGTGGTGCAATAGGTAAGATGAGAGCCAATGAAGAGTACAGTCACAGAGACCAAATGAGTGGAGTTTTTTGAGGAGGAGGTGGTCAACTGTATCAAATGCAGCAGAAAGGTACAAGACTAAGAGGACAGAATAGAGACCATTGATTTTAGCCATTAGAAAATTGTTGGCGAGTTTTAGGGGGAATATGGATGGAAGAAAGAGCCTTCCTCCTACAATGCAGGGAGCGACCAATCATAACAAACCAATGCTTTTACAAGGACCCAGGAAAAGACTTCTTATCTCCGTGTAAGCACTGACTGGAGTGAGCTGAAGCTTACATAGCACTAGTTCTCTTTGACACCATGGGCAAGCTAAGTAGCAGGGGGAAATGAAGTAAAGAATAAGCAACTACACTGACAAAGTTCATGCTCACTATAAAGCCAAACCCTGAGCTGAATCATTTTTTATGTAAATGGTGCCACAGGCTAGCAGATCACTGCATGATCAAGGATTCAGAGGTATCCAGCATTTCCGGCCAGTAGTCAGCAATTGACATCTTATGTGTTTCTATATACACAGGATTTTTTATATAAAATGAACAAATGCAATGCACACAAACCTTGCAGGTTGTCTTCTCCACCAGACTTAGAACCCTCTCTGCTAGACACAGGCCTTCTCAGCACACTGCCTAGACCAGCCTCCAGGTCACTGAGCAAAGCTTGTAGCTTGGGATCAAAATCCTTACTCCATTTCTCATCCTTAGAAAAACACATTGATAATCAGAGATGACCAACCCAGAACCGCATATTAAAAACACCAGAATTTAAAGAAAAATAAAGAAAATAAAATGTCTTTTAAAAGAGCATATATGACCAGTGACACTCATGCCAAATTTATAGAGGAACTTCACTTTTTTCATTTCGTCAGCAACTATAAGTTTCGTAGATCCTGACTTTTAAAAGTAGAGTCCAGAGATAGCATTGCCGCCATTTTGGATATGGAAGCTGACTGTAACTACCTGAGGAATCACAGTTACCTCCCTGGTGCACATGTGCAAGATTTCCCAGTGCTGCAGGTTGGGAGGCATGGGCAAGGGGTGTGCCTAAGTGCAAATCATTCTCATCTATGCAAAAGTGAGGAAGTGGGAGCGGATACCTGTCCAAAAAAGGTACCTGCTAACCAATAGAAAGAAAATACATTTTCAAAAGTGTTAGGCCTAATTCACACTGCAACTCATAGCAGCAGACATGATTCAAGTTCTGGACGCTCAGTGTTGCACGATTCAGCGCATCACACGGCTCTCCTTTTTTTTTTTTTTTACAAGCTTTATTTGAAGTGTACAAAATGTGCATATCATTCTCATATCATTCTACAGTGCTAGGCTGCATTGCAGTGTAAATAGAACACATAGGAAACAATAGTTTCATGTGTGTCCCTGCTGTGACAGACATTTTATCATGCAGTAAAAAGTCTGGCACCACATGTAGTGTGAATTGGCCCTTTGCACAGGGGGGAGAAATTATGCCTTTTCTCCTCTGAATCCTGTTCAAACAGTGCTGCCCTGATAGATCAGTTAAAAAAAATATTGTCAAAAATATTATGGAAGGGGATGAAGAATTGAATAGACAGCACTTTCACTTTAATTGAATAACCATTTTAATTAGTATGATTTCGGTGCAGCAGTTGCACTGTGCCAACAGCTCACTACAGGAAGTTTGGAGTGGATTGCATTTCTGACAGGATCACCATATCACCAACATTTTTAAGCCTCGGTTCACACCAGTGTGACGGTTCCAAATCGCATGACAAGTTGAACCCTATTGTGGGCAATGGAACCTGCACTATTTTTGGCGACTTCAGGTGCAGCTTGCATTGACAGCTGTGCATAAAGTTGCACAGATGTCAGGCAAGCCGCATATGAAGTTGTACCGGGACAGCGGCTTGGAAATCATGCTACTTCAAGTGAATGTCACATTTGTGTGAGCCGGGGTTAGTGGTGCACCGAAATGAAAATTCTGGTGCCGAAACCGAAAATTCAGAATGCACTTGGCCGAAAACAGAATATTTTTCAAACTCAATTTTTTTGGAAAAAATTACACTTTAATGATTAAAAAAAAACAATATATACCACAATTTTTTTGTAAAACATGAAAGATGATGTTGCGCCGAGTAAATAGATACCGAACATGTAATGCTGTAAAATTGTGCACGCTCGTGGAATGGCGGCAAACTACAGTACTTAAAAATCTCCATTGGTAACGATTTAAACATTTCTACAGGTTAGCAGTGTAAAGTTGCAGAGGAGGTCTAGTGCTAGAATTATTGCTCTTATGTTCGTGCGATACCTCACATGTGTGGTTTGAACACCGTTTACATGTGGGTATGGCCTACGTATGCGTTCACCACTACGCGTGAGCATGGGGGACGGGGGCACGTTAAACTTTTTTTTTTTTTTTTTTTTACACTGTACCTTTATAAAAAAATTTAATCACTTTTATTCTTATTACAAGAAATGCATGCATCTCTTGTGATTATTATATTATTATTATTATTATATTATTATTAGTATTTATAAAGCGCCAATAGTTCACTCAGCGCTGTACATTACAAAGGGGGACAGAACATGTGACAGAACAATACCAATACAATGCAAAACATGAGGGGATCGAGGGCCCTGCTCTTTCGAGCTTACAATCTAGAAGGGATGGGATAGTGGTACAGGAGGAGATAGCTGTGGGGGATGGAGTGGTAGGAAGAGTGGAGGAGGTCAGCAAGTTAGCAGGGGGTGAGGTAGGCTTCCCTGAAGAGATGGGTTTTCAGGGTGCGCCTAAAGGAGAGGAGAGTAGGTGATAATCTGATGGGTTGGGGAAGGGAGTTCCAGAGGATGGGTGACACCCTGGAGAATCCTGGAGGCGGGCATGGGAGGAGGAGACCAGGGAACTAGAGAGAAGGAGGTCTTGTGAGGAGCGGAGTGTGCGTGCTGGGCGGTACTTGGATATTAGGTCAGTGATGTAGTTCGGGGCAGTATGGTGGACAGCTTTGTACGTCAGTGTTAGGATTTTAAATTTGATCCATTGCGCAATCGGAAGCCAGTGGAGGGATTGGCAGAGGGGGGTGGCGGAAATGGAGCGGTTGGAAAGGTGAATGAGTCTGGCAGCCGTATTCAGGATCGACTGAAGCGGGGATAGCCAGCGGCGAGGCAGGCCAGTGAGGAGGGAGTTGCAGTAGTCGAGTCGTGATATGATGAGGGAGTGGATGAGCTGTTTAGTGGTTTCTGGGGTTAGGAACGTGCGATTTTGGCGATGTTGCGGAGGTGGAGTCTGCACGAGTTTGTTAAAGATTGGACTTGGGGCTGGAAGGATAGGTTGGAGTCAAGAATGACACCAAGTACTCTGGCCTGCAGAGCGGGTTTGATATTGGCGTTGTTGGATGTGATGTAGAAGTCAATGGGGGGTGGGGTTCGGGCTGGGGGGAAGACAAGGAGCTCGGTTTTGGAGAGATTCAGTTTAAGGAAGTGGAGCGACATCCAATCTGATATGTCGCTCAGTAGGTGTGTGATTTGGGCAGAGACCGAGGGGGTGAGGTGGGGGGTTGAGAGATAGATTTGTGTGTCGTCGGCATAGAGGTGGTAGTTGAAGCCGTGAGAGTGTATGAGTTGGCCAAGGGAGGAGGTGTAGATGGAGAAGAGAAGGGGCCCAAGGACAGAGCCTTGAGGGACCCCAACAGAGAGGGGGAGTGAGGGGGAGGTGGTAGCATTATAGGTAACGCTGAAAGAGCGTTGTGACAGGTAGGATGAGAGCCAGGAGAGAGCAGAATCTCTGAGGCCGAGGGAGTGTAGTATTTTGAGGAGGAGGGGGTGGTCAACTGTGTCGAAGGCCGCAGAGAGGTCAAGGAGTAGGAGCACTGAATAGTGGCCATTAGCTTTGGCGGTTAGAAGGTCGTTGGAGAGTTTGAGTAAGGCGGTTTCGGTGGAGTGTAGGGGGCGGAAGCCAGACTGTAGGGGATCGAGGAGGTTGTTGTTGTTGAGGTGAGAGCATAGGCGGGTGTAGACGAGGCGCTCGAGGAGTTTAGATGTAAGTGGGAGCAGGGAGATGGGTCTGAGGTTGTTCGGGTCATTGGGGTCCAGGGAGGGCTTTTTAAGTATGGGGGTGATGTGTGCATGCTTCAGTGGGGAGGGGAAAGTGCCGGAGGAGAGGGAGAGATTAAAGATGTGGGTGAGGGAGCGTAGGATGGAGGGGGGGAGGGAGGTCGTAGGAATTGTGAGGGGATAGGGTCGAGGGGGCAGGTGGTGAGGCGGGCATCAGAGAGGATCTTGGAGACTTCCTCGATGGTAGTAAGGTCAAAGGTGTGGAGTGTTGGGGGAGCTTCAGTATGAGGAATGTAGGGTGGGGTGGGTGGAGGTCAGAGCAGTGGTGGGGCCGTGGGAGAGGGGTGATGAGGGGGTAGCTGAGTGAGGGGGAACGGGGTTGGAGGGAGTTTGAGCAGTGACGAAGTCCCTGCGGGTAATGTCGAGGGGGAGGGGGGGATGAGGGGGTAGCTGTGTGAGAGGGGACGGGTTGAGAGGGGGTGTGAGTTGCGGCAATGTCCTTGCGAATTGTGTCAATCTTGTTTTTGAAGTGATTGGCAATCTCAAGGGCGGTGAGTGAGGTGCTGGGTGGAGGTGGGGGTGGAGAGAGTAGAGAGTTGAAGGTGGAGAAGAGTCGGCGAGGATTGGAGGAGAGGGCCTTGATGAGGGTCAGGAAGTAGGCTTGTTTGGCTGCGTGGAGGGAGGGTGTAGGTGCGGAAGGCAGATTTGTAGCAGGTGAAAGCTTGTTGGGATTTTGTTTTGCGCCATAGTCGCTCCAGGGCACGACTGCGTCGTTTGAGGGTTTTGGTGTGATCAGTCTGCCAGGGCTGGAGCGGTCGGAGTCTGATGTTGCGTGTGGTTAAAGGCGCTAGTGAGTCAAGGGCTGCTGACAGCGCGTTGTTGTAGGCAGTCATAGCCAAGTCGGGGCAGGACAGGGGGAGGATGCGGTCGTGGAGTTGATCAGCTGCAGAGTGGAGGGGGGCAGGGTTAAGGTTGCGGAGGTTACGGCTGGTAGTAGTGTGACATTTGGAGGGGTAGGCGTTGGAGGACGAGGAGATAGAGAAGGTGATCAGGTTGTGGTCAGAGAGAGGGAAGGGGGTGTTAGTGAGGTTGTGGGGAGCGCAGCGGTTGGAGAAGACAAGATCAAGGATATTACCGTCGGAGTGGGTGGTGGATTGTATGCACTGTGCAAGTGCAAAGGAGGAGGTTAAGTGGAGGAGACGGGCTGTGTCTGGGTTGTCAAGGTTGACAGGGATGTTGAAATCCCCAAGAATGATGGTGGGTAGCTCAGAGGAGAGGAAGAAGGGTAGCCAGGAGGAAAAGTCATCCAGGAAGCGGGGTATGGATCCAGGAGGCCGGTATATCACAGCAATCTTCAGGGGGGTTGGGGAGAATAGTCGGACGCAGTGGGCCTCGAAGGAGGAGAAGGATAGGGAGGGGGGGTTTGGGAGGACTCGGAAGGTGCTCTGCGGTGACAGGAGCAGACCAACCCCACCACCTTTACGACCGTTAGGTCTGGGTGAGTGGGTCCAGGTGAGACCTCCATAGGAGAGTGCAGCAGGGGAGGTAGTCAGTGGGCTGGATCCAGGTTTCTGTGATCGCCAGGAGGTTGAGGGAGCGGGAAACAAAGAGGTCGTGGATGGCGGTAAGCTTGTTGCACACCGATCGGGCATTCAGGAGTGCACATGAAAACGG